ACATTTTCAGCCTCGCCCAACAGGTGGCTCAAAATGGAAGTGGGAGGCAGAAGCCCTGTGAGCCAAGCCTGTCTGTGGTCCTCATTAGGCCTCCTGTTGAATGGGTCCTTTTGGACTCTATGACCTCAACAGCATGCAACCTGTCCTACGCCTCTCTGGCCTCTCAGCCTTCACGGGCCTCCCGGCTTCCCTGCCACCCCTGCCACCCTGGGCTTCCCTAGCTTCCTTTAGCTGTTCTAGTCTCAGGGTCTCCTCAGGCACCCTAGGCTTTCCAGCTACCCCAGCCTTGCTGGCCTCCCTGGGCTGCCCACCCATCATGTGGCCTAGGTATGAGGACCAAAGGGCCTAGCGACAAGACCATTCTTAGGCCGTGGATCCCAGCTCTCCTTCTGTTTGGATAGGAAGGGACAGGAAAGCCGCCTGCTTCTGTAGGCAGTTTGCCCCCAGGTCCTCAGGGTACCCAGCTGCCCGTGGTCACCTTTATGGAGCATGACCCTGGTGATGTCCCCATGGCAACTTTCATAGTCACCTTATCTTCACGGTTGTCTCGTCCCCTGGTCACTACGCTCCAAGGTCACCTCATGCAACGGTCAGTTTTCTCAGTGGTCACCCACTCTCACCGTTCACATTACTACCGTTATACTCAGTGGTCACTTAACCTCCACAGTAATGGCCTCATCCTTTGGTCACCTCCTCCTCATGGTTACCTGACCCGCACCAGTCACTTTTTCCTCACGGATGCGGCCATCTCTCCACAGCCGTACATTTTGATCTGCCCTCACTACCATCCACTGAGGTCTGCACTTTCTCCCTGTGGCTTCCCAGGCTGGTCCCTCTCCTCTGGGTGTGTGTCAGGGAGCCGATGGCTCGCTTCCTGGATGGAGGGTCCAAGCCTGCGGCCTCCTGGGGGCCGTGGAGCCAAGAGCTCTGGGCTGACAACGGGGGCAGGTGTCACTCTTAGAAGTAAACACTGGCCGTCTGTAATGAATGGCGGGCCGCAGGGGAGCCACTGCGGTATTTAACAGCCGATATTGGACTGTGCGGCTCAGCCTGGAACAGGCGCATTATGAAGGCTAATGGATTTTTGAGGCCAGATTGATTTTTCATTAATTTGGTAAAAATCTTTTTCCTCTCCCCTATAATTCTGTCTTAAAACGCTCCCCCGGACAGCTCGATAAGTCACTCCCGCCTTAATGCGCGTCTGGCTCAACGTCTCGGGCTGCGGGGGAGGGGAAGTCAGAGTGGCTGCCAATCACCCTCAGGTAAATACTGCATTATGCATGGGCATGGAGCCTGGGCCACCCCAAGGTGGACACACAGGGCAGCTAATGTGGACCCTCTGTATGGGGTAGGCCTTGGTCACAGGCCTCCAGGGGCTCCTGGGATGACAGGGGAACTCTGAGAACCCAATGTGAGAACTGAGGTAGAGACCGCTCCCTGAAGATGGGACCTCAGACTTGAGAGGCCTCTTGCTCAGCTCTTCCCCCACTCTGCTCAGCTCCCCCCAACCCCAGTCTAAAGTCCACAACCCAGCTTGGACTCCTGCAACAGAGGGCTGCCACCTCAATCCTAGCCAAAGCATGGGTCTGGCAGAGCTACCTCCCCATCTTCCAACCCAACCTGACTTCCCCTCTAGAGGCTCCCAGGCCCCTCCCTGTAGACTCCAGGCTGTTCATTACTTTCCTGTGAGCCTCAGGTAACACTGCCTTTCCCTCCAGAGAGAGACTACGCTCTCTCTCTACTTTCTCCCATGGCGTCCGCTTGCGTGCCAGCATCAGTAGGTCCCACCAGAGCTGTCCACCACTCCTAACCCTACTCCACGTCCTGGAGTCACATCCCCATGGCTGCCTAGGCCCAGACCAGACACTTAAGTACCAGAGATGGTGAAGATGGTGATAGGTTAGGGTGTTGGTTGATGCCAGCGCTGGTGGGCTAAGGCCAGGCTGGCAGGAGCCAGGCAGGAAGAAGAGAGCTGCTTACTGGCTTGCTCTCCATGGCTTGCTGGGCTTGCTTACTTTTGCCCCCCAAGACCATCTGACCAGGAGTGGTACCACCCACAGTGGTCTGCGTCCTCCCACACCAATCATCAATCAAGAAAATGCTCTTACAGACTTGCCCACAGGCCAATCCGATGGAGGCGGTTCCTTGCTGGGGTTTCCTTTCCCCAGGTGACTCTAATTTGTGTCAAGTCGACAAAAGTTAATGGGCACAGGGCGAAGCTGACGGTGGTGATGGCAGTGATAAGGTGATTTTGACCTAAGCAACGGTGGAATAGGGTGATGGAGGCTGGGAGGTGAAGCTGAGCTGTGATGGGAGGGATGGAGGTAGGGGTGGAAAGCTGGTGGGGAAAGAGAAAAGGGAGGAGGAGGAGAAAGCCAAGGTGTAGGGAAAAGGATGAGAGAGAGGGGAGGGCTGGAGGGAGGTAGGGCTGGAGGGGACAAGGGGAGTATAAGGGGAGTGAAGTTGGGATACAGAGGAGGACAGTGAAGGGGGAGTGTGTCCCTAACAGCAGTGCTGGCGCCTCGTAGCTGGGGCGGGGCTCCTGGCCCTGTTCCACCTGTCACACAAGATCAGCGTGCTGAGGACATCGATTTGGGATGAGGTGCTGGGGCTGGGGCCTACCCCCCCCCCCCCGCCCGCCTCAGAGCTGGGGGAGGAACCTCAGGAAGATAGTCTGAGTGACTTGTAGGGGTGCAGTGGCCTAAAGGACTTTATCCTGGGCCAGAACAGAGCCCGTGGTGGGCCTATCCGGTATCTTCTTCTCTCTGAACAGGGTCTCTGAGGGAGCCAGGATCCTGGGTCCCCAAAGTCTCCCAGGAGTTTTGTTGCCCCACCCAGCAGAGATGTAGGTCTGTGTTCTTGGTGGAGAATCATGGCAGGCCACTGTATGATGGCTGCAGTTTGACCATCATAGGGCTTTCTCGAGCCCTAATGGTGGCTTTCTAGCCGGGCTAGTGTGAGCTGGAGTGATCCTGCTTCTCTGAGGCTAGCGGCAAGTCTCCACTCTCTCTTCCCTATTCTGAGAAACTGAGGCACAGCCCACTACATCTGTCTCATGTCCTGGCTTGGCCATCATTTTCCCTCACCTGGGCTACAACTCCAAGTGGCCCAAGCCCCTACCGTTCCCCTGCATCTGCCCTGCACCGGTCACCCGCTCAGAACCAGTACCCAGCCAGACACTCCACTAAGCCCTCTACTATGGGCTTCTGACTCAGGTATCCCACCAGGCAGGCCAAATGTCTGACTTGCATCTTCACCCCGCTTCCTTGGATGTCCTAACCACGCAGTCTCAGTTCACTCAAGGATGACAGTAATCCAGGGGCACACCTCCCTCTGGACTGGGAGCTTGGTGCACTGATTTCTCCTGTCCCTTGCTCCCGTGCCTGCAGCTGACCTTACAAATCCCTGGGAACAATGGACAAAATAAAACACTGATGGGCGTGGGGGTAGGCATGGTATAGGTGGAGGTTCTGGGCTGGGCCTCAGACCCAAAGCACACATGCAAAAGGAAGGACCTGGAAGGCAGTAGCCCCAGAAGTAGCAGGGTCCTTCCACCTGAACATCTTCACTTGACTATCCACCACCAAACCTCCCAGTCCACACGCACCCCGCCCTTACTCTCTCCCCACCCCCACTCTCTCTTCTGCGCCTCCCTCTCCCACATTAATCTCCAGGCCTCTCACTGCTGATTCAAGCAAAACAGAGTTTGCCTTTTCCCCTCTCGGCAGTTTTTTGTTGGCAAAGCAGAAAGGAATCGCAGCATACACATGCCTCAGCCTCCTGCCCAGGGAGCCGCTCTGAAAATGAAGCACCCCTCCACGGCGTGTGCTGCCTTGGGTTGTATGCACGAGAAGCACACAGGGACACCCCTCTTCTCTCAGCCGTATGTTCTCCCTGCTGGCCCTGGATGCTGGGTCTGCGCAGGCTGTGAGGAGACAGGCCGGTCCCCGTTCTTCCCTCTCAGGCAGCACATATGTGTGACAGATGTCATGTGTCTTCCTCAGGTATTCAGGGCCCTCACTGACCAGCTGGCCTGGTCCTTGTTCATGGCCCTAGGGCCCACCTATGATCCACAGTAGTTAGCATTTATGTGGCTGAGCCAGAAGGGGCTGCAGCTCAGAGCGGGGGTGTGGACAAACAAGAGTTGCCCAAGAAAGGGACATGGACTCTGAAGGCTGAGAAGACGCCAGCTAGGTAGGAAGGTTTGGGGAACAGTGTGGGGCAGGGTGGTGGCAAGAAACATGCCAGGGTAAATGGGCCAGAACCCATTTGCTCACATTCCTTGCGGGGGTGGGGGTGTCCATCAGCTGGCCCACTGGGGTGGCTGCCATGCATTGTTAAGATCAGGGCTAGTACCCTCCAGCATACACGGCTCTCTGGCTGGCTCCCACGGTGCCGGCCTATGTTACACACACCTATTTTCCTGTCTAAAGAAGTTCACACAGAGGGCTAGGTAGGGCTTCCATTACCACACAGTCCTAGCCCAGACAGAGCTCTAGACCCAGGGAACCATGGTCCTAGGAGCTCTCCTGCCATGGCAGCTGGGCCTCAGCCAGGGACCGCTGTCCTGCCCAGGGACAGTGTGCCCCAGGGACTCGTCTCACACTGGGAGAAGGCATGGATAAGCCACTCAGACACAATGGCTCCTGCTGCGAGGAGTCACCATGGCACAGGAACAACTTTAAGAGGGACCCCTAAAGCGGTGACTTTTGAGCAGGAGATTTGTGATTTCAGGTGGAGGAGCTCAGTTAGCAAGGGCCCAGGAACAAAGGCCTGGGCCTGGTGCGGTCAGCAGAGTGTGGCATCAGGCTGTGGCAGCCTAGAGTCACTGTGTAGGTGAGGGGCAGCTCCTTCCCTCGTCTTGACAGACCATCCAAGGTGTGTGTGTGTGCTTGCATGCCTGCTTGGGGTGGGGGAGGAGTGGGGGAGGGAGGGCCCTCGCATTCACCACCCTCCACAAGGGCTGCCCAGCCTGTCTTCTCTGATTATCATGTAATGGCCTCCTTGACACACAGTTTTATTAATAAAATTAACAAGAGCTGAGGAGCCTGAGTGACCTTGGCCATTCTGCTGCACTGGAGACTGTCCTAAGAGGGCAGGTGAAGAAGGAGGGGACACACCTGGGTCCCCTGGGAACCTCGACTGCTTCGGAAGGAAGTCGTGCTTGGATCTTCCTGACTCACGTGCTTAATGGTCTACATTCGCCCTCGTTAGACCGCAATGCTGACGTCCGCACGGGGTGATGTGCAGCGGGACACTAGACTGTGTAGCCAGACCCGAAGCATAGAATTGGGGACTCTTACCTGGGGGCCCCATAGAAGAGATTGGAGGATGTAAGGGCGTGGGCTGCTGACTGTGGAGCTGCCTGCCTCTCTTTTCTGGGCCTTCCTCAGATTCAAGGGGCTTGGATGAGCTGTAGCCTACTAGGGCTGCATGAGTGGGCAACCGCTGCCCCCTGGTGGTCCCTGGGAACAAGTTCCCCATCTGTTTTTTTTTTGTTCTAGTTCTGGGGATTGAGCCCAGGGTTTCATGCGCCTTGGGCAGTCTTTCTGTTCCTATCCTAAACCTTCCACGGCCTTTGAGGAAGAGCATCTCCATGGTTTTGCCGTACACAGTTTAGGGTTGCTTCCCACATGGTGCCCCCATCCTGTCCCTTTGGAGTTCAGGTCCTGAGCCCACTCTTCTAAGAGACCTGCCCAGGCCTGCATGGGAGCAGCTGGAACTGGGCAGCCGGGTGGCCAGAATACTTGTTTCCTGGGCAAAAGGTCAGACTCTGAAAGCTGGGGCACTATAAGGAGGCTGCAGATAAAATGCCTTCGCTGGGACCTCATACGGAGAGAGACCGGCAAGGGAAGGGAGGCCAGCGAGGTGACTGGTGGGGCCGCTATGCAGCAGGCCTGCTCTTCAGGGTAAGAAGACATATCTGAGGGGACATTCCCAGAGCAACTGGATCTGAGGATAGAGCCAATGCAGCAGCAGAGTAGATGGGGCATGGCAGGGGCCAAGAGGCTTGGGCGGAACAGCACCAGCCCTGCTGCCCTCTGCAGAGGGCAGCCGTGGGAGCACTGGAGAGACTGGGGCATCCCTGGTGCGGGTAAAGAGGCCATGGTCTCAGCCTCCTCTCATCTGATCGACATTTTTAATAGACATCTCTAGTTCTAAGCAAGCCGGGAGGGGGCACCTGTTGGTCCCCTGGTGCAGAGGGCAGGACGCACTAGGTACACCTGGCTAGCTGGAGCTGGTTACAGGGTGTTGTACACAGCAAGATGGCCTCCACAGCCACCTGGGGCACGCAGGGGTCCAGGGTGCCCAGCTCAGGGACAGGTGACACAGTTCCTGTTCGTGCAGGGGTCAGGTTGACTCCCAGTCTTGCTTTGTTTGTTCTTGCGGCTCCAGGCAAGGATGGGCCAGGGGCGGGCACGGGCAGGCATCGGCGTCTCGAAGCCACACTCTCTCTGACTCCACAGCAGTGCTGGTCGTCGGGGTCCCTACAGCCAGGACAGGGACAGATGTGGTCAGCCATTATGGCCTGCCCTATCTGTGGCCACCCTGGAAAGAGGGCAGGGCCCTCTAGGAGTGATAGGCGTGTTAGGAACATGTCGGGGACATCTGAAGTGGCCATGTAAGGCTACTTGCCATTCAACCTGGAATGGCCTTGTTGAAAAGATGTGACCTCTGGAATAGACTGGTTTAGAAGCCTCTAGTCTGGGGACAAACCGCCACTGATATGGGCTGTGGGCTTCATTTGGAGCAGGACGATAGCCACACTGTGGAGGTACCATCACAGGTGAACACTGCCCAGGAAGCCACCTCCACTGAAGGCCACCTTCCCACCTTCGCTCTGAGGCCTCTTGGACAATCAAGAGGAAGGCCAGGGCTGGGTAGGCCTGGAGTTTGGGGATCTTCTCCCAGGCCAAGGATTCACCGTGCTACGTGGCTCAGGGCTAGGCAGCAGGGACACGACCTGCAGGCTCACGCCGTCCTCGCCCATGCCCCTCAGCTGCGCCACCACCTCCACGTGTTTCCACCACTTGCAAGGGCGCCCATTCACAGACACGATGTAGTCGCCCTCCTTCAGGCCAGCGGACTATGGAGAATGCGGATCAGTGAGGCGGTGGCAGACTTTGATGGTCTGGGATCTCAACACCAGGGGCCGGAGGAGGACCTTTACCTCAGCCTGACTCCCGGGAACAACAGCAGCGATCAGGACAGGTGAGTCTCCCCGCAGTGTGAAACCAAAGCCACCCTCTCCTCGGGTCATGCGCACTGGCCCTACCAGCTGCCACCGATTCTTGGTTGAGAACACAGACAGGGGTCCCTGGAAGGAGACAAGTGGTAGAGGCCTGGCTGGGTGGCAGTCAAAGAGCCCTGACCTGCCTGGCAAACCCATTTTAGCCCATATCCCCTAGGACAGAAACAGTTGAGGGGCCAAAGGGAAGGGGGACAGGGAGGGAGAGCGGGCTTGCTCACCAGTCGATGGAAGAGGTCAGTCACCTTCACCTGGGACAGGCTCGGCATTTTCACCTCTGGTGCGTGGTGGGTCTTGGCTGACAGGGGCAGGAGGGAAAAGAGAACTGGAACTGAACCCCAGACTCTTGAACCTCCCAGAACCAGAGTTCCACGGGTGGGGCTTGGCTCAGTTCAGAGGAGTGTGTGGCCCTCAGTTGCAAGCGGGACTTTCCTGGCTCCTCAAAGCCTGGTGTTCCCACTGACAGCCAGGGCTATACTAGTTCCCCAAACAGATGATGTATGGAGAGACTTCTAGGGATCCACCTGGAAGCCCCAACGGGCACCGTGCCCCTCTCCTCTCTTGCCTTGCAAGAACCTAGAAAGCAGGGAAGGGGATGGTAGGGGATGCTGGCCTGATATCCTCCCAGGGCTCCACTCGGCAGCCCAGGCTGTCTCTCCACCCACCCAAAGACGTTTGCACTATGCCACCCAGGCTGTCCTTCGACTCTGTCCTGACTCAGTCTCCCTGGTGCTGGGCTGGGACCATAGGCATGTGCCACCACACCTGGCTGGCTGACGGTCCCTCAGCAGTAGCTGCAGGGGCTCAGCCTGGCTATTTGACTGACATACTCATCCCAAAGGGCCCTCCCTGGCTGCTCACGCTGGATGTCGGGGGCCTCCACAGCCTCGAAGAAGTCATCCTCACGCTCGAGCTCTGAGTATTTGGCCAGCGAGTGCCGCAGTGCCTGAGTTACCACAACCTGTAGCAGGTCTACCTTCCGCAGGACTCGGCACAGAGTGTGAAGCCGCAACGCCTCCTCCTGGCCCAGGATGGCACGCTTCAGGTGGGCCTTCGCTGTGCACAAGCATAGCACTGTCACACACACACACACACCACATACATGCGTGCATGGGTGCCCTACCCACTGGCCCTGTCAGGCTGGGCACACACACACCACACATGAATGCACGGGAGCCCTGCCAATGGGCCCTTCCCAGCTGGTTCCCAGACCCTCTGTCTCATCATGGATCAGGAGAGGGAAAGGGTCAGACAGTGTTGGCCGAACTAGGAAAGTTCTGCCAAGCCAAACAGTAGAGCAAGGAAGAGTTGTCCCCAGTATGTACCCACCTGCCCAGCACTCCCAGGAGCCCCTCTCTCAGCAGCTTCTACCAACCCAGGGATGCCAGCTGATGAGTGACTATGGGGGGCACCCTGCCACGTTTGGCCCAGAGCCCTGTCTGTGATGCCTCACCAAGCTTCCTGCGCTCTTCCGGATGCTGCGGCAGTGTGGGACCTTGGGGCTCACAGGTAGCTGAGGGCTGGAAGACGTGTTCCTGCCCTGGGAGCTCTCCCTTGTCAGCTGCTGGGGGTCAGAGAGGCCATGAGTATGAGCAGAGAGCCTTTGTGGGCTCACACAGGCATGCGGGGTGACGCACTCACAGGAGCCTTCGCAGAGGGCCATGGCTGTGTGGTAGTGGGCCAGGGCACTGAAGTGCTCAGCCTTGACATGTGCCAGGTTGGTCCAAGAGGCGGGCAGGTGGTCTCGGACAGGTGGCTGGGCCATGACCTGGTGCACGAGCCCATATTCAGCTGCCACCTGCCAACAGGCATGCTGGTCCAAATAGAGCCTCTGCCTTTCTCTGGGCCCAGGGAGCTCAAGGGGCAAGGCCAGTCGAGCCCTAGTAGACAGCCTAAGTTCCCTGCCTATGCACCCTGGACTCCACCTATTCTGTCCCACATTCTGGCAGCCTCTCCCTAGACTGCTAGCCGAGCCAGTCCGGGACATCCAGGGCTTCAGTTCCTGTTCTCAGGACCACACATACCGGGGCAGCCACTGGCATTAGGGAATGACACAGAGCATTAGAGGCGGTGCCCATTCCTGCCTGACTTGGGTCCAAACCAATGCTGCTCAGGTCCTACTGAGCTCTGCTCTTTGAGTGGCCACAGTTTGGCCATCTCTTTGAGGTTCCCCGGGCAGGGCTCCTTGGCCTTACCTGGGCAGCTTCCTGAGCCAACTGCAGCTGAGCTGGACAGCTGTCGGGTGTGTCAGAGGCCAGCAGCAGAAGGCCCTTGAAGATGCACTCTTGTGCCTGGGCAACCATGAGCTGCTCCAGCATGGAGAGAGATGCGGTGCTCATGTCTGCGCTTGGTGCGTGGGAGAAGTTCTCCCTCAGGAGTCTGAAAGCCCCTGAGGATGGAGAGAGTGCTCAAACAGACAGGGACCTCCCATGCCCACCAGGACTACCTTCTGAACTTCCCACTAGAGGACTTATGTGCTAAGTTTTTCACGCAGGGAGGCCATGTCCACCAGCCCTGTTTCCTGCCCCAGAGAGGGGCACCATATCCCGCCTACTATGGTCGACAGCCCTCACCAGCAGCCCTCTGGAAAGCCTCAGCGGCATGGCTGGCGCCCTCGGTGCAGGAGCAGTCCTGCCGCGCTCCAATCTGCGTGTGGAGTGCCCCGATGTTAAACAGTATACTGCCCTTCTCGAAGGCCAGAGCCCGCTGCTGTGCCGGGACCCCCGTGAGCGAGTCGTACCTGTAGTATGGTGTCAGGATGGGTACAGTTCCCATAACAACCTGGCCTCCCATCCCTGGGCCTCCACCTCTGTTGCTAGCCCCTACCAGTGGAAGAGCAGCCTTGGACTCCTGGCAGGGCTAAAGAAACGGGCATCCAGGAAACAGAGCTGGCTATAGTAGGCAGCAAGCAGATCCAGGCCGACCTCGTCCCTGCTGGGAGTCCTCGTGGCCTGCAAGGGAGAATCCAGTGGGGCCCAGTCCCAGGATCCACTACTCATGATGCCATCCTCAAATCTCCCTGGGCATCATATCCAAGGAATACTTGACACCCCAGGAACTTTGAGGGCAGCCTGGCACAAGAGGCCAAGTAGGGCCCCGGGGAGGGAACAGGCAGTGCCACTGCCCAGACCAACAGAGCATGGCCAGAGTGGAGTCACCAGGTCCTTTCATGAACACTGGCTGTGCCTATCTCCCAGGTTTCCTAGCGTGTGGGGGCTCCGCATGAACCTCTGCATTGAGACACAACCTATGACTTGGCTTCCACTTCTGCCTCTGGAGCAACAAGAGGGGAAGCAGCCCACCCACCTGCCGTAGGTCCTCTAGTTCCTGGATCTCTGTCTCATAGGAGGTACCATCCTCTCCAAAGTGCTCAGAGATCAGCTCCTGTTGGAAGAACAGGTATTGCCCTTGGGGCACGCCATGCCTGATAGCCTGTTCTGGGGAGGGGAGGGGCCAGGGAAGAGCAGGTTGTCTGTGTAGTTGGGGCCAGGAAGAAGGGCTGAGGACCTGGGGGCTGTAACACTGGTGGATGCTGATGCTTTGGTTCCCAAGTCCTGGATTCCAAAGACAGAACTGGGCCAGGATACTTGGGGTGCTATTTTACACACATTCTTTCATCTGCCATCTTGGAGACTCAGACACTGAGTCATAAGGTCATGTCATTTTCCCATGGGACCCAACAGGCCCAGGAAGAAGAGACATGGAATGTTTTGGGGCCTGAACGCTCTCCAGGTCACTCAGGAGCCAGTCATTCTCAAAGAACAGGTGATGGTGACATCCTTGAGCCAGGAGACCCTCTGCGTGGGATCCCAGAATGATGAGACCCTTCATAGCCATTCTGGGGCAGGGCCCCAATCCTAACCTTTATCTAACCCTTAGCCCAGGTTGACATCAGAATCAGGCAGCAGGAAGGTAGTGCTAGCTCCTGGTAGGGCAGCCCTTCCTCTCCCCATCCTCAGCTTCCTCACCTGTTCAATGGGATGACTAGATTAGGGAGCATCTAACCCCAGCCCACCTCAGGATCATGTCCTTCAAAGGTCACAGGCCAGCACTTACCTTCAGGGGTGTGGCCCAGTCCAACTCCTTGGTTTCCTTCAGGCCCAGGGGGATCATGGGAATAGTAACACTTTCACTAAAAGCAGAAATAGGAGCTCTAGACCTACTGCCCCTAGTGGCCTAGAGACCTCTCCCGAGGCTCCCAGCCCACAGCTTCACCCTCCACACAGTGGGCATGCCCCGCCTGGTGTCTCACACCCCTCCGGCTGCTCCACATCCGCACTGCTGCCCAGCTCTGCCAGCTCCTCTTTCAGCAGCTGCAGGTTGGAGTTGACATAGCTCAGCTCCAAGGCGACTGTCTCTCGGACCCAGGTGTTGCTGGTGGCTCTGGGAGAGGGGAGAAGACCCATGCCTGAGGCAGATCCAGTAACCCAGCTCTCCTGTCCCACCCAGGCTTCAGAGTCCACCCACAGGGTGCTGCTGGGCTAGACCCCACTGCTAGAGTCAGGGTGGCAACAGCTAAGTAGGGCTGGCTCAGAGGCGCCTTCCTCCTCTTTTTTAAAAAAATTATTTATCTTTTATTTTATGTGCGTTGGAATTTTGCCTACATGTATGTCTGTGTGAGGGTGTCAGGTCCTCTGGAACTGGAGTTACAGACAGTTGTGAGCTGCCATGTGGGTGCTGGGTATTGAACCCGGGGCCTCTGGAAGAGCAGTCAGTGCTTTTAACTACTGAGCCATCTCTCCACTGTCCCCCCTTCCTCTTCTATGATGCCTCCTCTAACACAGCTCATTCTCCAAAGCCATTGTGATTCCAACACAAGTTCCCTGGGCTGTGGGCACAGCCAACCCTCCCCGTGTCTGCACTGGGCCCCAGCACAGGGAGCAGGAGGTCTCTGGTGACAGGGAAGAGGAGGATGTTGGGGGGTGGGTCATAGCCCTGGGCTCCCTTGCAGAGTACAGAGTGGTTACTGTGTTTAGAGGAAGCTGGGTCAGAAGATCATTTACAAGGTCCTCAGCCTTGGAGTGCTCAGCCGCCTACCATACACAGCTTCTGAGCAGCCTCCGAGGCTCACCAGATCCTGTTGGGCCTCCTAAGGAGGCTTTTGGTTCCTGACCAAGCATATGTAGGGAGGCCTAGAGGTGGCAATGGCCTGGTTTGTCTGTGAGGGTCTAGGCTGAATGGTAAAGTATATAGTGAGGCTACTAGGACCCAAGTGGCAGCCACGTCACGCCCATCTGCCCATCTGTCCCCAGTCCAGGGTCCTGCAGTAGCAGGTGCTCACCTGTAGAGGTTCTCGGCACCCGTCCGCATTCGCAGCTCCTTGCTGATCTGCTGGTGGAGCCGAGCCCTGTGGCTCTGCAGCTGGCCAGGCTGGTTCTGCATCAAGGAGTCATAGCCCTGCAGGGAGGATGACGGTGGTGATGCCCACGGAACCCCCATCAGCATAGCCTCTGCCAAGATCAGGGAACCTCAGCCTGTCCCTAGGAAAGGAAGTGGTCACTGTGGGCTGGATCCTCAGCTGGTGTCACAGGGAGGGGCTGGGCAGGCCTGGCTGGGAACATGGGTGAGATGCTTCCCCACAATGCTTCATGGATGCCGTAGACTCAGCCTCATCCCCAACATCTAATTGGCTTCCCCCATATAACCCCTTTCCTAACACCGGGTTATCCATGGTCCCACAGTTTAAAATACGGTGTGATGGGGCTCTGGACATAGTTCTATGAAGAGATGGCTCATTGGCTAAGTGCCCACACTATTCTTGTAGAGAACCCAAGTTTGGTTCCTAGCTAGCACCCATGCCACAACTGCCTGTAATTCTACCTCTGGGGGATTCCAACACCTCTGACCTCTGAGAACACCTGCATTCATATGCAAATAACCATACACAGACATGCACACACATAATTAAAAATAAAATCTCTTAAAAATTAAAATATGTTGTAATCTCCATCAGGAAGCCCGTTCTGCTCGCCCCTGCTGGAACCAACCTTACATGCCCCGAGGACTCACCAGCTCATCTATGTAGCTGGTACAATATGCCTTGGGGGTCTGGCCATCTTTCCAGGGAGCTACCAGCAAAGCCCAGGACAAGCTTTTTTAGAGGGACCTGACCTGGGCTCTGCCCACAGGGTTTTTCAAGTAGTGTCCATGCCCACAGCACTAAGAACACGGCCACCAGACAGTCATGAACCTGTGCTGCTCAGGCAGAGGGGACTGGTCTGTGACACAGACAACTAGGCATTGGGTTCCAGTGTGTCTCTGCCAGCCCCAGAGGGAGGAAAGCTCCTCCTGTGTAATGTGAGACAGGTGGCTTGAGCTATCGGTGACATCCCCTCTTTCCAGCCACAGGCTCAGTGTGGGAGGTTCCTCCCAGGAGTGGGGAGGTCAAGGAGTGGGGATGAATGGTGTTGTATACAGCTTTAAGCCCTCCAAGCCCTGCAAGGTTCTTACCCTGCCTAAGACTTGGTGGCAAAGATTTTGTAGAAGGCAAAGAAATACGCGCACTAGTGGTCACAGGGATCAGAAGGCTCTAGTCCAAACGACACAGTGGTGTGTGTGTGTGTGTGTGTGTGTGCATTAACCCCGACACTGCCAATACTCATCATGCATTCAAATTGTGGCCTCCTGTCATGTAAGAGCCGTCTCAGCACCTTGCAAGGGTTTAAGCAAGGCTTACACCTTGGCATGGATGGAGTTCCTGGAAGGCAATCACCTTGACTGTGGTCCCAACTTTCCAAGAGAGGCTCATGTCACTGAAGAGTGCCCACAGAAGTGGCATGTGGGTTTACTCTGAAAGAAGCGGCCATTAAGTCATCCTTGGGTGACCACAGATAGGTGACTCACTCTCTGGATAGCTGGCACAAGACAGCATAGGGGCAGAGGAGGTACCAGTGCCGGGCCTCCTTCTCAGGACCCATCCCTATCTGTGCAGGATGGACACTGGGGCCATGACAGTCTCCTCTCTTCCAAGCCACTAAGTAAATGACAAACATCTTTCCGAGATCCTACTACAAAGGCTCTGGAGTCCTAGGTTCTGGTGAGCAGCTAGGACTGCAAACATGTTGGGCAGTAGGCCTTAGCCCAGTGATGACCCATGGCCCCATCCCCTCCCCACCCTGATGGGGAGTTGCACCAGCCAGCCACTCTGGGCTCTCTAGGCCCTGGGCCTGTTCTCGGCTTCTTAGTTTGGTTCACTCAAGGAGGCCAAGCCAACCTGCTAACCTGTGTTGGCAGAAGGACAAGGCAAGCAAGCCAGAGACAAATCTATAGGGCTGGATGGATTCTAGAAGCTGATGGCCTACACCCAGTTTTCCACGCTGGGTGCCATCTCTCTCCTGGTGTAATCTCCCCACCCTCTGGAAACAAAAGCTACCCATGGTGGCAATTCCTGTCTAACTCTGGGAGAGCTTGCCATCACCTTTGACACCCCAATAACAATGGTCCAACCAGGACAGGGTCTGACCATGTCCAGAGAGGAAAGAGATGAGAACGGAGAAACAAAACCTCCCACCCAGTGGCCTGAACTGGCCTGCCCCCCAGGATTAGCAGAACAGAGGGGACAGTTATTCCCATACAGGCCTGGGAATAGAAAGAAGGACTAGGGTAGTCCCAAGCCCTTCCAGGCTCCCTCACTGAGTCGGCTCTTTGGGAGAGTCCCACACTCTTGACAGGGAAGCTGCCCAATGCAACAAGCACTCCCTCCAAAGGGCACCCACAAGACATGGCCAGCCTGTGAAGAATTCTTTCGTGGAGTACATGGTGTAAGCTGTCTCTCTTTTCCTCCCTCCCTCCCTTCCTCTTTCTCCCCTCATCCTCCCCCATCTCTCTAGTGCCAGCTAGTCACTGTGGCATGAGGCATGCCAGGCAGGAGGGAGCCCTTGAGTGATCTGTCCAAGACTGGGTGCCCTCTCTCCCCTCCCCCATCTGCTAGGAGACCTGAGCCACATACACACAAAAGCTGGATAGAATGAGCCAGGAGCAATGTGCAGTCTGACACCAGGAAAGCGGAAGGGCAAAGTGCCATGGCAGGCACCTGGGAGTAGTGACAGGAGCCTCTGCTTAGCAGCACCCCGCCCCCCCCCCCCGGGGCGGGGGGGGGGTTGAGTAGGAGTATCACAGAAAGTGCACAAACACTAAGAAACTTAAACACTCACGGATCCCTAGGAAACACCCAGACTGGGGCCGCAGAGTGAGATCAGCCTAACACCCCCTAGGCAAAGAATGAACAGGTCTCCATTCTACCCCTATTTCCCCCGGGATTCCTGGAAGCCCAGGTACCCTCATCCCCAGAGACAGGGGTTTGGGAGCAGGTGTGTGTTCTGGAAAGTGGCAAGAGGACAGAAGGTTTCGCCCGCTGCTACAAACTAACATCTAATGGTCACCCACTTCCTCGGGCGTGCATGCAGAGGCACTGTTAAGGAAAGGAGGCTACACGGGTGTCAGAGAAAACACCTGCTCGGTCGTGGAGGTCCGAGCTGTCATCGATCAGAACTAACTTTTTGGTTCTGAGAACCAAGGGGATTCCTCGCTTCAGGCAGATCACCCAGTCCTTGGCTGCGCCACTGGCATTCCCACCGAGCTGGAACACAGGCTCTGGCCTCTCCTTGGGGGCTCAGTTTCAATAGTCCCAGGAAGGAAAGGCCGCAAAGGCCGCGCCACACAGCACGGGACAAGAGGCTGGGGATCCACACCCCTCCTCAGCCCCCACCTTAGGGTTGCTGCTGTCCTCCTGCAGCCGGTCGCTGTCCTCGCTGGCGCCCGGGTCATCTGGCCTCTCCTCGAGGATCATCGCCGCCTGCCTGGACGCTGACCCCCAGAGGCCGCGAGCAGCAAGTCCCTCGCACTCCTGGGAGGAACACCCGCGCTGCCCGAACTGTCCGGTCCTGGAGGGTGCGACTGACCGGCGAGGCAGGGCGCGGGCCCCGCCAGCAAAACTTGGCTCCGTCCAATCAGAGTTGACTGCTGCTCCGATCGACAGCAACTACAACTAACCAGAGTGAGAGAGAGGCAGGCTCCTGGTAAGGGATCTGGTAACCCCTAGCAACCAGGGCCGCTGGCCGAACACAGTACGCATGCGCCACACTGGCGGCTGGGCTTGCGGGAAAGTTAGGAAAAGACTTGCAGAGCTGGGGGCGGAGAGCGGGCGCGGCTGCGGCCCCTGCTGGGACTTCAGTACTTTATCTCGTCACCCCGGCAACGGGACCCTCCAGGACTGCTCTAAAAATGTTTACAATGGGGTTTTTAAACGGTTTGTTAGAGACAAGTGCTTGTGCTGATTCTTGAACAATGCCTGCTTTCTTCCCTGCACTGCGGAGTAGAGCGTCGCTGCGGTCCCCTTGCTTTCAGAACCGCCTCCAGAACCATGGTTATGCATTCGCTTCCAGAACACGCATCCTCATCGACCTGCTTGTTGTTCCAGAACCTGCTTGCCTCCTGGGCCTTTTGTTTTGAGAACTGGACTTTTTCCAGAACCCGAGCAAGCACTTCTCAGATTCCATGTGGGCTGGCTCACTGGGAAAGAACTGAGAACACATCCTAGAAGTTAGTGGCCTGCCCTTTGTCCAGCCGCTCCAAAGGTCAGCCTCCTCCACCCTGGTCACTGCTTGTTCTTACGGAGTCGGCTCAATCTCCATTCCCCCAACCCCCCCACCAACCACCACCAACACACACACTGGACTCTTATCCCTAGCTCTAAATCCTCTCAGCTAAGCTCTTAGATGTCCCCGAGCATCTACAGTGGGCACCCCCAGAAATCTATCTCTTATGGGCCCCTACCAACCCCTCCAAACTTCCTAACCTTCTCCAATGGCCTTTTTGAGCCCCTGGCACTCCTTTTCCTGCATCAGCTTCCTCCATCACTGGGGCTCTTGCCATCCTGCCTGAGTGTGACCAGCACCTCAGACTTCACAGTGAGCCACGTGCTGTCTTCTCCAAGCACACCTTGTATAGGCAACCAGGAACTCAGACTTCTTGGGGGCTTCGCTTCAGAATCCTGCATGCATAACCTACATTCAGCAAAACATGTGACTAAGTAATAATTTTTTCCTAAGATTTATTTTATTTTAATTCATGTGTGTGTGTCTGCATATGAGTACAGTGCCTACAGAGTCCAGAAGTATACTAGGTCCCCTGGGACAAGACATACAAGTAGTTGTGAGCTGCCAGATGTCGGGACTGGAATCCTAGCCTTTGGTCCAACATAAGAGCAGTGCACATTCTTAACCACTGAACCATCTCTCCAACCCTCCCATATGGACTATTCCTTTCTCTCTCAGCAAGATTGTTCTTTTCACAAGCTTAGGGGAAGTTCCCTCTCTGCAGCATGTTTAGCCGACTGCAGGGATCCACAGTAGCTTCAGAAATACTTTCCACTTAGGTCCCACTCAGGGGTCTTAGGGATATCCTGCTGCAGTCCCAGTGGTCCTGCAGGGCACAGTTAGGAGACGAGGATGGTTCCCAGTTGCTGAGGGTATTAAGACCTCTCGCGCTTTTCAAATGAGAACCTCAGACTCAGTCAAAAATCAGGTTGGAGGGGGCAGGGAAGTAGAGCTCAGCAGGTAGAATATTTGCCTACTATGCACAAAGTCCTAGGTTCAGTCCCCAGCGCTTCATAGAACACGATGAACCCCGGTATATAGGAGCTAGAAGCAGGAGGACCAGAGGTTCAAGACCTTTCTCCAGTTACGTGGTGAGTTTGAGGTCAGCCTGGAATCTACAAGTCTAAAACAAACAAACAAACCAAAACAAAACATACAACAACAACAAACCAACCAGTCTGGACAGTAGAATCAAGCCATTTTTCAGATAGAGAATGTAGCCTCGACATTTTCCCCTCTCCCCCGTTCCTGAGGAAATGAAGATCAGCGTCTGAGGTGTCAAACCAGGGAAGGTGCTGACGCACGTGAGAGCCGGTCCCGAGTGGGGATGTTCCCTTCCCAGCGTTCCATGTTTGCCCTCGGGTTACTCCCACTCTGGGCAGAGACACCAGGAGCCACTCAGTGCAGTGCGTTCTATCTCCTTTCAACTCAGCTCATTTAGAAGTACAGGATGTCTTTCCGTTGTATACCGCAGTTTATATGCATGGTGTTTGCATTGTAGGTAGCATGTGATTTCTTCCCTTTAATCCCAGTGAACAGCTCATGGTCTGGGGGGGAAGGTGGGAGGCCAGGCAGAGGGCGGCTGTGCTGATGAGCTCCTGAGGCCAGAGGAGAGCACCGCGTCCTTTTCGTTCTACTTGTCTGTCAAAGCTGTGGATGAAGAACCCTGCAGTATCCATTTCTTTGTAAGCAATTGAACTTACAAATAATCAGAAATAATCGCTAATTGGCAGTTTATGCAATAAAAGCTCAATTTTCTAGGAGGCTCTCAGGGCTCCTGAGCCAGGCGTCTCCCACTTAGCAAATCCTGTAGAAGGTGACCAAGTTTTTCCTGTCCTGGACACTACCATGGTCAGCCCCATTGCAAGAGCTGTGCAATGTCCTGAAGCATCATGAGAGCGGTAGGGAGGATGGGCCTCTAGGAAGTCCACACTGGGCTTGCTCCTCTTCCAGTGTCCTAGGGCGGGGAGCAGCTCCCCCCACATCACCTTGAACGAGATAAGTCAGCTAAGCTTGATAAAGATGGCGGACGGAACACAGATGATCGAACACCGTTATCTCCACACTAGGGCTCTAGGATAAGGGGTAGGGATGGGACCTGAGCACTTTGTAGCTCCCAGCCAAGGTACTAACCCTGGGAGGAAGCAAATTTATTATCAGGTCACTGGACTGCTTAATCTGGAAATCCTAAGAAGTTCAACCAAAAAACCAATTATAGCTAATTGGAGAGCTGGGTAGGGCAGCCAGCTTTCAGCTAACCAGATCATGGACGGAACATCTGTGTCCAGCCCAGATTAGCATGCTGAAGCCAATCTCCCCTCCCCCGTGGGATGCCTCGGAGAGGGGGCCTTTGGAGGTAATGAGGTCTCGAGGAGCTGCAGCAGTTAGTTCTAAGAGAACTGATAGCTCCCCATAAACTCAAGGGAGGCCACACCCCAAAGGCTGAATCTGCAAAGGGTAGGATTCCTCAGCAGACGCTGATTGGCTGGTACTTTCCAATCCCCTGAGTAGTGGGGAAAGGTTCCTGTTGGTTTAGTCTCCCCACCAGTGGTGCTCCTTACTGAAGTCTGGAGAGACTGAGATGATGCAAAGTACAATTGCTTAAATAATAATATACTACTAATAAAAAAGACATGGGGATAGAGGGATGTTTAATCAAAATTCTGAAATAATTATAATTGTCTAGGAAGATACCAAATAAGAAATACATCTATGAGTAAGTATACTTTCACTGGGTAGCTTAAAACCAGACATTAATGGTTGGATATACCATGTACCTTGAACATATATAATAATATAAAAATACCAACTCTCCTCGAAGGTGGATTAAGGATTCACTTTATTTTCTAATCTTGTGTGCATGAACGTACGTGCGAGCCCAGGCACTTCAGTCAGGTGCCTGCGGAGGCCAGCGTATCCTGTCCTCTGGAACTGGAGTTAAAGGTGGTTGTGGGTGGCCTGGTTGAGGTGCTGGGAACCAAAGTTGGGTCCTCTGCCAGAACTGTCAGACTTTTAAGTGCCGAGCTGAGCCATCACAAAGAGAATACAGTCCCCATACACGTAAACACTCTCCCACACCAGGTGTCAGCGGAGGCAGCCAGACAACAGGAGCCTTCTCTAATCCAGAATGTCGTCAAACACTTGGAAGCCCGAGAACATTCGGTGTTTATGAGGGTGGGTGGGAAATCAGGAGCCTGGGTCCCTACTGGATAGTGGGGTGTGAAACTCAGAGAATTAGGAACTGTGCACACTGTGTTAGTTGCCTGGGTTTTAGCAGTTAAGAGCAGATACAATGCCAAAAAGAAAAAGATCCCCAAACCCCACAAATATGGATGCAATGTTGATATTCCTCTTTTTAAGTTTGTTTTTTAATGTATGAGTGCTCTATCTGCATGTTCACCTCTACACCAGAAGAGGGCACCAGATCCCACTATAGATGGTTGTGAGCCACCATGTGGTTGTTGAGAATTGAACTCAGGACCTCTGGAAGAATAATCAGTATTCTTAACCATTGAGCCATCTCTCCAGCCCTGCAATGCTGGTATTCTTAATACAGCTCAACACACCAGCAGAGGTTTTGAACCTTCTTCAGACCTTTCTTTTTTTCTTTTAGACAATATCTCACCACATAGTGTTGGCTGGCCTGGAACTCTCTCTGTTAGATCAGAGAACTACCTGTCTCTGCCTCCAGAGTGCCAGAATTGAAGGCATGCACCAAACATGCTCTGTTTTATCTTTTTATAACTATCAGAATGCTAGCTGGGTCATGTTTTGGGTACAACATACAACATGGTCTCTGGGCTTAGCATGACAATCTGCATTTGAATTCTAGAATCCACATAAGGTAGGAAGTGAGAACAAACTCCTGGTCTTTGATTTTTACATGTGAGGTGCAAACACACACACACACACACAATTAGCTACAGGTAGTGAGCTAGGAGGAAGTATAGGTCATAGATTTAAGTAAATAAACAAACCTAGGCAGAGAGGAGAGAAGCCGGTGTTGATATTTATAACAAGGAAAATTGCCACCCCTGCTTACCAGGCGAGGTGACCCTTGTCACCTCGTGGTCCTCAGGGCAGGCAGGAGGGCACCGACTTTGTTTAAGTACTCTGCATCCCTGGGATGGTCACAACAAGAATGGCTTATTTTTTAAGGTAAAAGAAACGGGGAAATGAGAGGAGGTTGAGAACGAGTGGGTGGATGAGCTCACTGTAAAAGACGAGTTCAGGGCAGTAGTCGAGAAAAGGGTTTGTGTAGGAGTGTCCTGCATTCAGGAGGTAGCAAGTGGGCTGCAGTGTGTGTGTGTGCGCGTGTATGTGCA